GGGCGGGGGGGATGAAAGAAAAGTAATAGACAAAGAAAGTAACAACATCAAAGAGCAACTCTTACCCATGTCCATTGCTGGTCCACCAAAACTAAACTCTAGTTCATCTGTACCAAGCAGGCTTGACATATTGTTATTGTTTGGTTTACGAGCAGCCTTAGCTGTTTGTGCTGATCGTTGTTGTGCTTCAAGCTTTTCTTCATGTTCTTCTATGATGTTTGAACAACTGAGAAATCCATGGCAAAATTTTTAACAATAAATAAAATTACTAATTCATAGCATTCAAAGTATCTAGATCAAAATCACTTTTTTTTAGAATTCTGTAAATTCTATTCATTCCATGCCACAGGCTAAGGGCCTTTGATGATAGAAACAAAATATCTCAAGATATCTGGGTTTAAGGCTTTTATCAATTAAAAACTATTACTCAAACAAAGTTTAATTGACAAAAACTATTAATCACTAGACACATGGAGCAGGTGGTCGGGGTAGCAAAAATATAAATGGACTTTACAGAGCTAAAAATAATGACTGGTAAATGGAATTAAGTGTGTGGCCAAAATTTGAATTTGTCTGGTAAAAGTATTTTGCTTAGTACTCTTGACCAATGAGGCCATTGAACAGCTGTTATTTTAGCTCTACAGTATGATGGCAGTAACCTGTGATGTCCTTGTATAATAGCATGGTCAGATGCCCTCCATCCTTGACTATCTCTGATCTCAGTGTTGGCATTATTCTGCAGGAAGAGCTTGACAATACCTATGTGTCCTTCACTAGCAGCTGTCATGATGGATGTTCTATCATTGCGCAGAAAAAATGTTAATTATAATTAATTAATATCATTAATCTTCATTCATATTGTGACTATAATTTTGTAATTTCATAATCAGTAATCATATAAGAGCATGTGTAATAGGTAAGTTACAAGCCTTGTAAGAAACGACTAAAGAAGAGGGCCAATGGGCCTTTCACAATTTCAAGTTGCGTAGAATCCCATGAAAAAATAGTACAAGAGAGATGAGGTGGTAAGCCATGTGGGATCAGTTTTTTAAATGATTATTTATTTTCAAATGAATGATACAGTAATTATTTATATCATGTATATTAAATAATTACCATTAGTTTGAAATTGTTCTTTTTCATAAGAGAGAATTAGCAAACGCAATGCGAAGTGAAGGAGTATGATGTGCAATGTCAATGTTTGCATTGGAAGCACGGGTGGCGTTAAGAGCGGTGAGAGCACTTCACCTCTCACCAATGCGACGCAGGTTCGAGTCTCCCTGTGCACTATGTGAGTAGAGTTGCTTGTTGGTTCTCTCCTGTGCTTTGAAGGTTTTCTGGGTTCTCCAGTTTTTCTCTCTCCGTAAAAAATTAACTTCGAAATTCCAAGAATCCAGTGGAAGAAGAGCCACTCTGTGGAATCCACTATTAGTCTCATTATTATTATTATTACTCTTTTTTTTTGAAAGCCATTTGTGAGTGCATGGCCTCTTTTACGTCTAGTTGTGTTTTCTAAATCCTTCTTATACCATCATTGCAACAGTGATATATCCAGTTTGATTTTAAGGTCAGGGCAATCAGGCTGTAAATTAAATTACAAGTCATGTGACTATCCTTCTCATACTCATTAATAATTCATGAGTAAACCAGCCAATCAATGGGCTATTTTTGGGTCACATGATGTTACTTGAAACCTGGTAAAGTGCTGCGAAAGGAATGCATTCAGTCTGGAGTAACTGGAACAAAATTAATTCAGTCCTAGGACTGAATTAATTTTGTTCCAGTTACTCCAAGTCGAATAATTAATGAGATGAGAAGTCATTTCAAAGCCTCCAATATCGGACTGGACGGGATTTCAAGTCCGTGCAATTAGTTCCAGTCCTTGGCTGTGCCTCGGACTGGAACTAATTGCTTTGGCTTGAAATCCCGTCCAGTCCTCATTGTCAGCTTTGGAATATTACTTCTTAGCTATTAGTATCTTAATGGCAGAGTGGCTAACCACAAAAATCCACCACCCTTTCTCTAGGATATACCCTTGACTTTTTCTACCATTATCAAGATTATAGTCACCTTCCATGAGCATCAACAGCATTAATATCAGCTCCTTCATGAATCAGAAATCCCACAAAGTCCTGATATCCAAGAGACGATGCAACATGTAATGGAGTGAAGCCCTCCTGGAACAAAAAATGCAAAATCGCTAAATATTGCATGAAGTATCATATAGCATTCTGTGAACCTCAAGATTAAATATTAAATACTGGTTGGTAACCCAATGATCATAAACAATGAAGTTGTGATGTGCCAACCATATAAATGGTTAAAAACAAGAGGTTGGCAATACATGCATCAAAAGTCCTGCACTACTTCTCTCAGCGCATGCTTAAGGGGCCAAAAAGTGGGGTAAGGGGTTGTAAAAAAATGCTATATTTTGGCATATTTATTTCTAATTGACTTGCTCTTGGATATTCAATGAAAATTGTCATTGAATAGTAAAATTCAATTTTTAGCAATTTTTACATCCCACTTTTTGACCCCTTGAGCATGTGCTTAGAGTAGCAGTGTGAGTCTTTTGATTCATTTATTTGAACCCAGGGGTAAAATTATGTTGCTTGTTTCCCTTCGGCCCAGCGGGGAAAGGGGGGGGCAGATGGGGGTACACCACTAGAATTTGGGTAGGGGTGTTCCGCTGGGATTCTGAAAGGAGTACCCTGTTTATGACAAAAAACTCAAATTTGTAGACCCTGTTTATGACAAAAGATATAATTTATTGGACTGAGTTCCCGTTTCAATTATCATGTCATCTCGTGTATCGTTTTTTTTACGACCATAATAACCAGTTTCGGTCAATACGAAAGTAGAAACCCTGAATATGACAGGAAACTCAAAAAGAACTTGGAACTTGAAAGAAATTGCATACCCTGTTTATGACAAGAATCTCGAAAAACCATACCCTGTTCAGCGGATCATCCCAGTATAGTCCATATATGGGAGTACCCCCCCCCCCCCCCCGGCTTGTTTCTCGCTCCTTGACAAAATATTTTTAGGAGCGTGAAAAGAGCGACAGAATTTTACCCCTAGGTTCCAGAGGATGCCAAGACTTCTGGATGCAACAGTTACAATTGAATACTTTACTGACCTTATCTTGGGCACTGATTTTAGCTCCTTTTCCTAACAGGAGAACAGCAACATCAATTTCACCATTAGCTGAAGCCAAGTGAAGAGGAGTACTGTTCATTACATCTATGACATTAGCATCTGCCCCGCTCTCTAATAACACCTCTGTACAGCCCTGAGATTGTGCTTCAATAGCCTAGGGCACAAATGAATGGATGAATGAATGAACAAATGATGAGAAAATGGATGGGGAAATGCGATGGAAGAGTAAATGTATCAATACTCTATTTATATCAAGATATAACTAGCTAAAAACTAGTGTGAGCTGCGTCAGTGTTTCTAATGAAACAGTAATGATGAAAAGGTAAATTATACACCGTGAAAAGATGAAAAACCTTACTTAACAGTAAGTTTTTTCATCTTTTCACGGTGTATAATTTACCTTTTCATCATTTCTATTTATATCAGATTTCTCTGTAATCACAGAGTGGGACAATCACGAACGGAACCCTCAGAACCATGCTAGGTGAAAGCCCAAGATCGAATTGGAATTTAGAAGTTGGTTTTTTGCGGAGGGAGGAAAACCAGAGAACCTAGAAAACCCTCGAAGCACAGGAGAGAACCAACAAACAACTCAACTCACATACAACACCGAGCTCGTCGGGACTCGAACCCAACTCGCATTGGTGAGAGGCGTGCACTCTCACCGCTACGCCACCCATGCTTCCCCAGCTCTGAGGTCAAAAGGTTATTGATTCTCACTCTAAACCTATCTGAAGTTAAACTGAGCCTCTGGAGCCCAGGATAATGGATCAACTATAATTAGAAACATAAAGAAATTGTCCTCAGTGCAATTAAAGGCTATACAAGAAAATACAAAAAAAATCACAATTTTCTCTATGGAATGTGAAATATTGCAAGTTTTGAATTTTCCTGTTAGCCTCACATTAAATTTCTGATTTAATAACTTTACTCCCTAATTATGCACAAATATATATCCAATATATAGGGCCCACAAACAATGCCAGAAAAATCTGGGAATGCCAATGGACTCATTCAGCCAAACTTCTCTCAGGCCTCATAATGTCTGGCCTGCCATCGAGCAATCATTATTTTTTAGATGCACACTATTTCTATCACATATTTCTATAAGTTCATAGGTAAACTAGGAGTGATCAGTTGCCAGATCAAATACCTTCATCAGTGGAGTTCTACCATAGCCATCACATAAATTAGTCTTGGCTTTATTAGCAAGTAAGAAACGGCATACTTCTTCACTGCCTAGTGCAGCAGCCAGATGTAATGGTGTCCTAAAAAGATAAAACAATCATTGAAATAAATAATATTAGGCTAGAGGCAGGCTTCATTTACAAACTCTGCATGTAAACTGTACATGGATGTGATGCAAAGTTATTTCTCTCTTACTTCATTATTTTGAGCTTAATATACTAATTTATTATTATTCTATTTTAATATTATTAAATGGATAAATGATTTGAGCATAAAGTCATTTGACTATAATCCCCAACTAACATTTTTCCCTCTTGACTTCCATCAATCAATCAATAAATACGTCAATCAAAATATTCGAAAGTTAAAATTCCAATGAGAAGAAATATAAATTTGTAGACGTCAATCTGTTAACTGATAAGTCAAATATCAATATATATCGATGATCTCAGGGAATAGGCATTGAAAAATATATAATTCCTTTGTAAATTGATCTATTATAAGAAAACGTTACTCGGGTGACAAAAGATGACAATGATATCAAAATAATAAGTAGGGATTTAACAGCAAAGATCTACAGTATGTCATCGTTTACTTTTAAAAAATCGTTGAAATATTTAGCCTTATCCTTTTATTTCTAATCCTCCTCTCTTACACATCTCTAGACTTGTTGAAATTGTTTCAAACTGAGAATTACTGTATTATTGCTAAATTGTGAGGTGTTGGGGTAGAATTATTTATGGTTGCGTGTCTAGTGAAGCGACAAGTTGAACAGCAGTTAACATATATATGTAGTCTAATACGCGCCAGAAAAAAATGCTAAATTACGCTATTAAAATGCTTTTTGACACAAAGTAAGCAAGCATTAGGTTCATAAGGTATCTCTAAATTCATAAATGATGAACAAAATATTTTTTTTCTTTAAAAAACGAGTGAAATCTCCAAGTATCTGACCAAAACAGTCAAGCAAGACGACGCTTTTTCAGTTGCTACGAGACACGACACTCGGGGATATTTCTCTATCTTTATCCACAATGCCGCCATTCAAAACTTACCTGTTCTCTTTATCGAGTTGATTAACATCTGCCTTCTTGATGATCTGTCGAAGTTTAGCCATGTCTCTAGTCCAGACGGCTTTATGAAGCTTAGGAAGATCTTTTTCTTTTTGGACGAAATAACCAGCTGCACCGGCCGCCATTTCACGGCCAGAGAGAGAATTGAGATCTTGTGTCGAAGAAGCATTTTTAGCCTTGTTGTCCTTTCTTTTGAGGAGCTTTCTGAGTCCCGACATATCGATTAAGCTTTGTTCTAGCTCATGAATCTGTGAGTTTGAAGTTAAAATTTACGAGGTTTGTTTTAAATTCATCTTTTCAAGTCAAACGCGAGTTCGTTGATATACTCAGCGCCAGGCCGTGACTTGTAACGCAATACATAGTGACGTCACCGTGACTAAGGATACGGATCAAACCACAGGGAGCCCAATTTAGATTAAAGTGAATGGTGAAAATAAAATCGGAAAAATTAAATAATTAATACTCTTAGTATATATACATAAGATCGACATCAGATACCATAGGGAAATTATATAGGAAAAGAAAGGCGCGCGCGAAAAAAAATTTTCTAGTGCATTTTTTTATAATTTCTTTACTCTTTCGCATTACGGAGGACATTATCTTGATCTCGAATTTTTAAAAAATATTAATTATCTAATTTTTCCGATTTTATTTTCACCATTCACTTTAATCTAAATTGAGCTCCCTGTGATTAAGCGGACTGGGGAAAAGAAAGGAACGGGGAAAAAGAAAGGAAAGGAATATAAAGAACTCGTAGGAAATTGAGTTTTGGTTCAATTTTACAATAATAAACAAGGATAGCGCCACCTTTGTCGTTTGGACAGCTTTGGTACGTTTGCCGTTGTTTTTGCACTCTATTTTCGGGTATTTAGACAGCTGATTGAACCTAGCCATAGCATATCGTTGAATAAGGGATATTAATACCGGATAGTGTTTGCTACTAACTCAGTAGCCATAACCAAATATAAAGCCGTCCAATGACACGTTCGTACCACAGGGTACCCAGTGATCAATTACGAACTGGAATTTTTCCCTGTCTGAAATAGCTTAAATGTAAATCCTGCAACTAACAATAACATTGCTGGTGAATGATGCTGAAACGAATGACTCTAGTTATACGGGTACCAAAGCTACCAAACTCTATTTATAGCCGTCAGTCATGTCTCAAAGAGAGTTTTCACACTAATTTATACCTCTATTAAGCGGCCAACCTCTATTTAACGACCACATGACGTTACCCCAAGAGTGGTCGCTTAATAAAGGTTCTCACTTTAGGTATCTTAGCATAATATTCAGTAGATTGAATAATATCATTAATGTTAGAGTCAATACTAAAGCCAAAATAAAAAAATGACGTCATACCCACCAACCAATCAACGTTCGAGTTATGTTTCATCTAGCTAGCTATGTGTGATGTGACCGGGATCAAGATTTACTGCGATGGAGTAATCACAAAATGGTTTAAATCCCCCCACAGTCAGTCAGTAAGGAATATAAAGACCCAGAAAGAGATTTTCTACAGGAGGGCTCCCTGTGGTACTATTTTTTAAAAAGTCATCAGTGAAAAGAATGGAATTCTTCAAAAGGTTCTTTTTAAATAAAGTATACTTTTAGACACTTGAATCACAGGAAGACATAGAGAGAGGGGGAGGGGATATAAAAACACTAAATCACCTAATAGTGACTTTAAGGCAGCAGTATGCAGTATGTTACCTTGACAACGGATTTTTTCAAATAACCACGGCAATTACCTATAAAGAGGGTCCGCCACGTGGGGTTAAACATAAATCAACAAAGTTTAAATGAACAACAGTCATGGATAATATCACGTAATCTTAAAAAATTATCACCTTGAACCTTAACACTTTGAAGTGAGTTTTTATGACTAAGCATTCTTCTTGAAAGTTCAGCATCAAATATAGTTATTTTAAAGAAAATTAAGCTCTACAAAATTGTTTATCGGTAAACAATTTAGTGTTAATTGCAGTAACACGAAATTGAACAAACAATTGGAAAATAGCGTGTTATGTTGGTGATAAAATCATATATCATTGAAAATAATGATTTGAATTTTTTTTTGTGTGTGTGTGTGGTTTTTTTGGTTTTTTGTTTTTGTTTTTTGTTTTGTTTTGCTTTGTTTTTTCTTTTTGTTTTGTTTTGTTTTGTTTTGTTTTGTTTTTTTTTTTTTTTTTTTTTTTTTTTTTTTTTTTTTTTTTTTTTTTTGTTGTTGTTGCACATGTAAATATCCTGTGCAAAAGAAAAGAAAAAAATCAAACCAACTCGGCATGCGTTCCTATCAAGGTTCAAAGATTCATTTTATTATTGGAAGTTTTATTTCCATCTTGCTTTGATGCTTGCATTTATGAAACGTACGTTTCATTAATCTTTGCCTAAAACATCAAAATGTTCATTCGTGACAGGATTTTTTAAACAAAACTGCACACCAAACAAAAAACTTTAAAACGGTAGCTCAATTTTTGAAATAACCTGAGCTCTGCACGAATCAGTGAAGAACTAAATAAGCTTTTAATCTGAGCCTAGAATTCAAATTTGCAACGTGCGCGTTTCATTAATGCAAGCTTCAAAGGAGGATGGAAATCAAAACTTCGAATAATGAAATGAATATTTGAACCTTGATGGGGTCTCACCTCTTTTGATTATCCTCAAGCTGCAAATCGTATCAAAAGCTTTACTTGTTTGATATTAAAAAATTCCCATGATCCTCAGTGATCTCAGCTTTCTAGGATTTTTGGTGACTAACTTTATTGAAATAAGTGTATAAAATTGATCATATACTGAATAGACCTCCTAAATGTTAGCGCGCTTTTGTCAATCGTCGTTGTTCATAGCTGCACTGTTACTGCATGCTGCATGTTGCTGTCCTTGCTATTGTTTTATCATTGCTGTTGTTAATCCTTCTGCCATTTTTCTGTTACTGATGCTGCCTTTGCTGTTGATGTTGTTCCTGTAACTGAAGTCGTCGTCTTCAGTATTGTTAGTGTTTCACGCTGAGCTAAAGGTTTTCTATATTTTATTTTATAGTTTTATTTCATTTTATTGTTGCTATGTTGCTTATATTAGTCGCAAATTTTGTTGTCATCGTTGTCGTCTGTGTGCTGTCCAGTATTTCCCTTTAAATCTAACAAACAAATGTGAAAAAATATCACTGAAACCTTGCCACTTGAATCCTACGCCTGGTTACTATAGCAAACTTGTCCAATAGAAACATTTAATATGATAAAAAATGAATGAAGGTTCTAAAAATATAAATCGTAAACTATATCAATATTAAAACAAATACGTATTCTGATTTTCTGCAAGCCCTAAAACAGAAGGGCCATCGTGCAGTTACTAACTCGCGGCAGGCTTGCTGTGAAAATAGGAAAGTTGAGAACCCAAATTACGGTGTGTGGAGTGAGTAAAATAAAGATCAAGAACTAGACTTTGACAAGGTAAGGTTTAGACCCGAGAGGAATTGTTCTGGAAGACAAAAAAATGGTTGTGTTTTTCATTTATTTTTTATTCATTTTTATTTTTTGCGTAAGAAAAGACGGCCTATTGTTTTGTTCCCAAGAACGATTCCTTTAGTAAATCGATGCAAGGGTCTGGCCTTTTTTTTTTTTTTTTTTTTTTGTATTATTATTTTATTTTATTTTCTTCATGCTTCTTTTAGTTGAATCGATAAATTTTCTTTTCTAATTGTAAAAATATAACTACAAATTGTATTTCATACGCCAAAACACTATCCAATTTTTCATCATTTCTTGAACTAAAAACTCGATCGGATCTGATTTTTTTTTTCCATATTTTCATGTTTTTTCATATTTTATTTTTCATGAGATATTGATCACGCGAGAGTTTTTCACGACATCCATTGCTGGATTGTTCGAGTATGTTTGTCGGTTTGGACACGGTCCCTCAAGGTCGTGTTTTCTGCTGCGTTTCATAGCAACAGCTGAACATGTTCTAATTCCGTTCTCCATATCACATGAACTATAAAAATTTGCAAAAATAGAAAACTACTACTTAGCTAGATTGTATTCAATATTGTGTCATGGTTATATATTCCCTGCAATTTAAGAATTATGCCGGGATTTGTTGTTGTTGTTGTTGTTGTTGATGAGGATGTTTTATTTTTTGTATTCATTTTGTACAGACATACATGCTTCATTCATGTCAATTGTTTTACGGGTCAATTCTTTAACGGTACTCTGTCTGCAAGGCATGGCAACCAGCCTTTTACTTCAATTTGTAATAAAATATTAGATCATTAGCAATGTTTCATTAATTATCATTAATTCCCAAGAGAATGGGTGTAACTTACCGACGATCGACGTTATCCCATGAATTTTATGGCTCTATATAAATATATATATTATTGCCCCAATTTTTGATTATTATATTACAAAGACAATAGACTTCTTATGTATCGCATTTTTGACACCTATTTAATTAATTAATATTACTTTTCTATTATTACTGGTAGGAAAGATGACGAAATTCCTCATTTGCAGTTTGCTGTTTCTTGCTGTATTGGTGGATTTTCCTGGTATAATCTATGGTCAAAGTAAGTGAAAAACGTCGCTGACGTTGCTTCCTTGCTTCCTTGCTTCCTTGCTTCCTTGCTTCCTTGCTTCCTTGCTTCCTTGTAGGCTTAGGTATTTCAATTTTGTTTAGTACCTCTGCTTACTTAATTCCCCACCGCCATAACACAAATGTTACTTTACTAAAGAATCGACAATTCATTTTTTGTCTCATCAAAGTCCTAATTATTCCTAGTACACGTAGAGACGTTGGGTTGCTTCAGAGCTTACTCCGACCCCCCAGTATTTCCTGTCATATTTCTGGACTACAAGTACAAAGCTGACTGGACGAGGTTTCCTAACATGAATGATTTGGTTCAAGCATGCGCAAAGGCTGCGAAAGAAAAGGGATACAAATACTTTGCCATTCAGAATTTTGGCGAATGCCGATGGGGTGCTTCGGGCCTTAGTTTGTACAGCCAACATGGAAGGTCAACCGACTGCTATGGTGGTGTCGGAGGAGCTTTATCTTATTACGTTTACAGTTTTGAAAAAGTTCTGAAATGTGAGTATTGGTAACCATTGTGTTCTTATTCATTGATTCCAAATGCACTGTTGTTGATTCTTCTCCTCGTCCGTCCGTCCGTCCGTCCGTCCGTCCGTCCTTAGTCCATTTGTCTACCCATTCTACCCTCTGCTTCGACTGTCCGAGCATGCAGCCCGTAATCTAGTAGTCCGCAGTCTACTCTTAAGGGTTCAGTTCTTTTGTTTCGAGATGGTATTTGTGGTGAAAACGGGGAAGACTAAGGGGAAAGGAAAATAAAGGGTTTGATAGGAAAAACGTTTTTAAGGATATTGGATTGATCATTGTTTGGTTGAAAAATAACCGGAGACCATACTCCCAGACCAGAATACTTCAGAATGCTGAAGCGTTGTATGGTAGCGCGAAGCATTTACGGCTACGCCGGAGATTTCGTCCCCAACACCGCTATCCCCGGAGGAATTACATCCTGATCAGGAAGCTCGGCCGAAGCCTAAGGGAGAGGTTAGTCGGCCCCTAGACCATAAATGATTAACCCCTTGCTGTGACCAGCAAACCTAAATTAACGATTGTATCTATCTCTGTTGGCTAAATATCCAAAGGCACTTTCTTTCCATGTGGGATGCTTTTTTAAGGCTATCTGTAATCAGTGCACAGTTACACGCATGCTCAGTAAAATATTCATCGTCCTTCCGATATTTGTTAGTAATGATGAAGTGGAGAGAGACGGAACCACCATTACTTTAAGTGTTTATTCAAGCCACTTGAAAGTCTAACGCATCTATAGATATAATTCCATTCATCCATCCATCCAACAGTCCTGTATTCATACTTAGTTTTGAATTTTATGGTTTTTCCTATCAATTTCCACTTCTTTGTAATATTTTAACGACTGATTTCAATGATTTTATTGCAGCTATCTCGTACACCGAGTGGAGCAGCTGGAGCATCTGTTCTGTCACGTGTGGTAATGGAATAAAGGTCCGAAGAAGGCAGTGTCTACACGGCATTAGCAGTGATTGTCTTGAACCAGTCCTTCAGAGAATGGCCTGCACGAAAGACCCTTGCAAAGGTTACGATAAAGATAATAATAACAATTGGTATTCATAATATATAGCATCATTACAATAATGTAAATACTGAAAGACACTTACTATCATGAGAAGCAATAGAATATGAACTAAGAGAAGGAATCCCTGCGCCCCATTATGAGTACTCTTTGATGCTATTTTTAGCGTATCTGATGCTATTTTTAGCATCTTTGATGCTATTTTTAGCATCTTTGATGCTATTTTTAGCATCTTTGATGCTATTTTTAGAATTATTCATTTGATCATTGGAACAATGATATCAAACGATGCTCTGAGATTTCTAAGTTTAAATCCAGTTTCTTTAAAGCTATTTAAAACACGTAATTTTATTCGTTTATCGATTTGTATTTCGTCTCATCATTTTTTTCATAAAATTAACTCAATTTTGTTACATCATTGGTTTTACAGGACCTTCTTGAAAATCACAATAGTGAAGAAGCATCCTGTTTAAATATTATTGTAAATAAATAAATCGTTTCCAAATGTGATTCTAAAAATCGCATCAAACGGCGCCTATGATGTTTACAAGCATGAATACCAGAGATTCATTCTCTTAGTTCATTTTCTCTTGGTTAAAGTGTTTATCCAAGCCACTTGAAAGTCTTTATATCTACAGATATGATCAAAAAGACAGCCCTTTCTTCTTAGTCGCCCATTCTAAAACACCCCGAGGAAGGGTAATAAAGAAAGTGAGTCTTAATTTTGTTATTATTATTTTTTTATTTCCCAGAAATTTACACCTCATGGGGGGCTTGGTCAATATGCAGCAAATCTTGTGGTTCAGGAAGACGATACCGAATCCGTAGCTGTCTAAATTGGAATAATCTTGATTGTTGGAAATGGTTGGACACTGAAGTATGTAACAAACATAATTGTTCAGGTACGTACTAGGTTTTGATCAGACTCTTTTTAGCTTTTCAAACTTGCATTTCGGGTTTCCATGCCCTGCTGTGTCAAGAAACCAGTTTTTTCCTCTAGAAGTCTTGTCTTCCCCTTTTAGACCAAGTGTCGCCTAGGCCTCATATGCTATTAYATTATTTTATTAACGTTAGCGCATGTGCATAAAAAACACATGAATATTGATACAACTCAAACAATCAATCTTTTAAAAAATGGATAGCCTGAGGCCAAGAGGTCTATTCGAATCTGATTATAGTAATCTTTTGACTTAAGAATATATTTCTTTTCAAGCTAATCCGTAATGCCTTTCTATTTTACACCACGTGTCATTCCCTACAGTATTATTACTTCATCAATTAATCAAAGAGAATGACACCACTGGTCTGAAATGGAATAACATTACACTTAAACTTAAAGAAGTCTATTCTGATTTGAATCAGCACAAGATTCAGCAGACGATGGTCAGTGGTCGGAATGGAATCCATGGTCCTCATGTTCGGTCACGTGTGGTGGTGGCTTCAAGAAACGGACACGTACATGTACAAACCCTGCACCGACTAAGGAAGGAAAACCGTGTGTTGGTGTGAGTTCCGAGACTTCCAATTGCGGAACAGAGTTATGCTCTGGTAACTAAACTGAGATACTACTGCTGTTATTTTCAGAGCATGATCTACTAAGTCGTTCTGACTATGACTCCCTCGGATCCCCCTCGTTTTTATCAATAGACCTTTTTATCTTGGGCGTAATGTTTTCCCATTTCAGAACACGTGTCATTCCCAAGAGTATCGTTTCTTTGTTTAAAGATTGCGCATGAGAAGACAGATGAATATATTTACAACTGAAACAAACAATTTTATTCTATAGGGAATGACGCGTGATCTTCAATGGGAAAACACTTGACTTCTAAGCTAAAGAAGTCAATTGCCGGGTCTTACCCTTCTTAAAAATATATTACGTTCAAGTTTTATTATATTACAATAATGTAATGCTCAAAAAAGCATTAAAATTAAATGCAAAGTATAGCGATATTTTTCTATAATGTGATTATTCTCAGTTAAAATTGATGGCCAATGGTCCAACTGGGGTTCATGGACGTCTTGCCCAGTCACGTGCGGTGGAGGCAGCCAATCACGAACCCGCACGTGTACGAACCCAGCACCAGCCAATGGAGGGCAGGACTGTAGTGGAAACAGTTCAGAAAAACAAGAATGTGGAGCAAGTCTATGCCCTGGTGAATAGTAAACACTTAAACGATGATGTTGCAGTTTTCGCTTTATTCATTTTTTTCCTTTCCTTCCCTCCAACATCATCACCACCACCATCATCATCATCATTTGATCATCATCATCATCATTTACTTTTTCTTCTTCTTCTTCTTCTAATTTATCTCTTCTCCTTTGCTTCTTCTTTTACTTTCACCTCTTCATTTTAGTTCCTACACTTCTTTAACGATGATGCTGCAGTTTTCGCTTTATTCTTTTCTTTTTCCTCTTCTTTTTATTTTCTACCTTTTCTAACCCTTTTATCCTTCGCTTCTTCTTCTTCTTCTCCTACTTTTACCTTTTTAATTTAGTTAAAATATCTTTTGTTTCAGTGAATGGTGGCTGGTCTACTTGGAAACCGTGGGGACCCTGTTCAACAACTTGTGGCTCAGGYAGCCAATCACGAGCGAGAACATGTACTAATCCCTCACCAGCCAATGGCGGAGAAAACTGTCAGGGAGAAAGCTCAGAAACCCAAGCCTGTCAAGTAAAACTTTGCCCAGGTACTAAGTAAAAAGGGAAACTTGAAGGGGAACATGAAGACACCGAAGGTGACCAGATAATGTATCGGTTAAGTATCCACGGTGATGTCCGTACTAAGCAGACAAGTCTATAGAGAGGGTTGATCTAATGCATCCAAGCAAGTTTGTTTGATACGTGACTAATGTCTTTATTTTTTATTCTATTTTTAGTCGATGGTCAGTGGTCTGTTTGGAAGGCGTGGACAACTTGTTCAGCGACATGTGGTGGAGGTAGCCAATCACGAACACGTACGTGTACAAACCCTGCACCTGCCAATGGCGGTGCAGATTGTTCGGGAGACCCTTCAGAGTCAAGAGTATGTGGAACAAACCCTTGCCCAGGTAAATATCGCGTTTGTTTACTTGAATACCACCAAAAGATTAAAATGTTACGTATTAGTTAGTGGTGGAACAGTTGCAGCCGAGAGTGGGAATGCTAAGTTAATGAACTCTACTCCTATGTAAGATTAAGTGATGTTGAAGCTTTGTCTAATTTTAGTGGATGGCAAGTGGTCTGATTGGAAAGCATGGTCATCATGTTCTGTCACGTGTGGAGGAGGCAGCCAATCACGAACACGCACGTGTACAAACCCTGAACCAGCCAATGGCGGGAAAAACTGTGTTGGAGAGAGTTCAGAAACTCAGGCATGCGCAGAAGCATTATGTCCAGGTGAGATGTCTTATCATTTTAAGCAAAAAGATGGAAGAGCTGTTCTTTCGTTACTTATACTTTTCACATACTACATTGGTTTTTTCTTTGTAGTGGACGGTAAGTGGTCTGACTGGAAGGCATGGTCAGCATGTTCTGCCACGTGTGGTGGAGGCAGCCAATCACGAACACGCACGTGTACAAACCCAGCACCAGCCAATGGCGGGAGCGACTGCGTTGGTGTCAAATTAGAGACACAAGCATGTGGAGCCCAGCTGTGCCCTGGTATTGAAAATAATTCTAAAATAATTAGTAACTTGTCCATAGATACAGTTTTAATATGAGGCGTTTCTTTTAAAAAGTAATAATATGAAATATTTTTCTGAGTGAATGAGACTTGAACATGATCGAAATCAAACATGTTCTAAGCTGTAAAGCAATCCGACAATTAACTTTTGAGGTTGCAATTGCCATTTTTATATTTATCTACTAACGGTGTATATTTAACGAGAAAAGTCTGCTTCTATTAATTATTAAAGTGGACGGGAAATGGTCTGACTGGAAAGCATGGTCATCATGTTCTGTCACGTGTGGAGGAGGCAGCCAATCACGAACACGCACGTGTACAAATCCTACGCCAGCGAATGGCGGGAAAGAATGTGAAGGGGAGGATACACAAACTCAGGCGTGTCAAGCAAGTCATTGTCCAGGTTAGAAGGATTTTTGATTACTTAAAAAAAATATTTGGAATATACAAGGGTGAGTCGATCTTTTGTATACTGTAAGCACGCAAGATACATATATCACTGAAAGAAAATTACGGTGTTCATATCAAATACACTAAATATTTTTAGGAAAGTAGACTGTATTATATATTGTAGCACTAAAAATCCTTTTCCAGGAAGTAAAACATATTTATGACATATAAGGTTCTAATGCATCTATTATGAATTTTTTTAGTTGATGGAAAATGGACCGATTGGACAGAATGGAAGACATGCCCAGTTACTTGTGGTGGTGGTAGCCAATCACGAACGCGCGCGTGTACAAACCCTGCACCTTCCAATGGTGGGAAAGATTGTGTTGGAGTCGATTCAGAAACACAAGCATGCGGAACAAAACTGTGTCCCGGTAAGCGATAAGTAATTTACGGTGATTTTTTTCTATGTTGATTGAGAACAAAAAAAAAAAAAAAAAAAAAAAAAAAAAAAAAAGGGGGAAAAACTAAACACAAAGAACAACAAAAAAAAAAAAGAAAAAAGAAATAGAGAGGCGGTCATGTTTACCTCATTGACCAAGATTGTGCGTATAATGAAAACAAATATTAGATAATTACTTTGTGGAAATGCAATTGCTAAATATTTACTTTAAATCATATTTGGAAAAAAATATTCTGTCTAAAGTGGATGGCAAGTGGTCTGACTGGAAACCTTGGTCATCATGTCCTGTAACGTGCGGTGGAGGCAGCCATTCGCGATCACGTTCATGTACAAACCCTGCACCAGCCAATGGTGGGAAAGACTGTGTTGGAGAGAGTTCGGAATCTCAAGCATGTGGAACGAACCTGTGCCCAGGTTAGTGCTGAAGACACGAACGACCTCCAAATCAGGCATTATATATAAAACATCTTTTTTAAATAGAAATGAAGCAAAAATAAAGCAAACTAACAATTTTTTTCGTGTTGAATAGTTGATGGAAACTGGACTGTTTGGACAGCATGGTCATCATGTCCTGTCACGTGTGGAGGAGGTAGCCAATCACGAACACGCAAGTGTACAAACCCTGAACCAGCCAATGGCGGACAGGACTGTGTAGGAGGAAATTCGGAAACACAAGATTGTGGGACGAAACTATGCCCAGGTATGGAAATTAAACTTAATAATTATTTCACCATTATATTATTGTGAATTACTGGATTGAACAAACGTTCATTGTAAATTTACGCGTTTGCTTAACTTTTAGTGGACGGTAAATGGTCTGACTGGAAACCTTGGTCATCATGTCCTGTCACGTGTGGTGGAGGAAGCCAATCAAGGGAACGCACGTGTACAAACCCTACACCAGCCAATGGTGGCAAAGATTGTATTGGAGAAAATTCAGAGACACAAGCTTGTGCAACAAATCTGTGTCCTGGTAATGTAGACAAATTTAATGTGATATTTTCTAAACAATTCGCATTAAACACTGAAATGATGTGCCAGTAATATATCTTCACTTTTAGTGGACGGTAAATGGTCTGAATGGAAACCTTGGTCTACTTGCCCTGTCACGTGTGGTGGAGGCAGCCAATCACGAACGCGTTCGTGTACAAACCCTGCTCCAGCCAATGGTGGAAAAGATTGTGTCGGAGATAGTTCAGAGACACAAGCCTGTGGAACGAAACTTTGTCCAGGTGAAATAATGAATAATTCATATCGACGTATATGAAGATGTATGTGTATATAGAGCTCACTTGATACTTAAGAATAAAAAGATTACTCTATTTCCTATATTTACTATCTGTACTCTATATCTTCACTTTTAGTGGACGGTAAATGGTCTGACTGGAAACCTTGGTCATCATGTCCTGTCACGTGTGGTGGAGGAAGCCAATCAAGGGAACGCACGTGTACAAACCCTGCACCAGCCAATGGCGGGAAAGATTGTGTTGGAGAAATTTCAGAGACACAAGCTTGTGCAACAAATCTGTGTCCAGGTAATAAAGACAAATTGAATATTATATTTTCTAAACAATTCACATACAAATAATACAAAAACGATGTTTTCTAAAGACTTTGTCAAAGCTAATATGAAGTGACATACTATTATTATATCTTTAATTACAGTGGATGGTAAATGGTCTGATTGGAAGCCTTGGTCTAATTGCCCTGTCACGTGTGGTGGAGGAAGCCAATCAAGGGAACGCACGTGTACAAACCCTGCACCCGCCAATGGCGGGAAAGATTGTGTCGGAGATAGTTCAGAAACACAAGCATGTGGGACAACACTGTGTCC